TCCGGTAACCGGCTCCGCGATGCTTGTCGGCGACATCCCTCGCCCTCCTCTTCTTTAATTTTTCTTCTATTTAAACATGCAGCTCTGACCGGCTCTAGGATACGCTCTGAGCGAGCTCTCTTAACTGGCTTCGAGTCAGAAGTGTCTGGAAGGCTTAATGAAAAACAAGTGTAAGGCAAGTCTGAGCCACCTGTCCCCGGGATCCCCAGCCAAGCGCTCTGGGCTCCTATTAATCAATGAATCTACCTCTTGGAAAGTGTCTTTTGCATGCTGGACCTCTACCCTGGGGCGATCACAAAGTGTTGGGGACCTGGAAGCCCTCTGGTAATTTCTCTAAGCCGGATGCCAAAGCCGTGCTGGCATTGCCGGCAATTCTGCATTCCCAAAACTGCTACAAAAGCCCTTGCAAGAAGAGAAAGGAGTAGCAAAGAAGCTCTTTATGTTGCAGGTCTGCAGTCCTGCCCCCTCTCCCCAGGAGCAGCCCCTCTCCCACCTCCTTGCTTCCCAAAGATACTGTCTAGTTGCTTTTCCAGAGAAATTAGCTTCGGAGAGAATATTTTTTTTTTCTTTTTCTTGCAGACATGAGCTGCTTTGATTGCCTGGAAGCATGATTTCCTGAAACCTGCTCCTTTCTGGCTCTTGCAGTGAGCTTCACAATAAAATGTATTGTGGTTTTGAGCTGAGTTCTATTTAAGAAAACGCCATTCTGGGTTATTCTCTTTCATGAGGCAGATGGAGACAGAGATGAAAGGCTGACACTTGGGATACTTCATTTCTGATCTTTAATTGTGGGTGGTTTCTTTTCTATAAGAACAGGCTTTTTCCCTGGGAATTGGTGAGAATTCAAGTGGAACAAATGAAAAATAATGGCTTTTAATTGCATTTTTTTATTTATAGAGCCTTTCATCTCATTATTCTAGGAGCAGTTCTGTAACTGGGGATATTTAAATACACTGCTTTTATAGATCCAGGGACACTTTTTGCTACTTGCTGCCTCTTGTGCAACACTTGCTTCAGCGTAAGCCACACTCTCTTCCAAGGCAGGCTTGGAGCTTCAGCTCACGCTGGTGGTATCAAGTGCAGCCGCTGGGAACCAATGCAAAGTTGTGGTTTGGAAGACAGCAACCAAGATGGGATGTGAACCTGTACTGTGTTAATGCTTCCACTCATTAACTATAACTTCAGGATCGAGCCCTTGCAGTCACTGGTGGTTGGTGTCTCTTAGCTGACTGGGAATGCTGAAGAAGATGTGTACTGTGTAACCCAGGCTGCAAAGCAGCCCCTGCTCTTGAAGGGCAGTGAGGCTGGATAGTTTTGCTTAGTGCAGTGTTTGATTGCTTTCTAGGATGAAGATATCTAAGTGGAGGTGGAGCAGCATCTCCATCAGTGCGCAATCTCAGCTGAAAGGCACCCTGGCTCTTCTTCTTGTAGGCAACGTTGCCTTTGTGATAGCTCAGGTAAGCGCATTGCCTTGCTGGGAGGTCTCTGGGCTTTAAAATGGGGCAGTGTCTGGGATGGGTAGCCTCTGGCACGTGCAGGACAGGTCTGTCCATGCATCAGGTCTTCAGCAAGCGTGAGGACGTATGACTTGGCTTAGTTCTTTAGTCTGGTCTTAACCTAAGTTGTGCTTTCCGTGGCTAAGAGTGTGCACAGATCATTTGCAGAGCGCTGGAAGGCCATGCCCTGCCCTTGGGTGAGCACCACTTCCACGGTCCCTGCAGTGGCTGGAGCTTTCATTTACTTTGCGTGGAATTTTACTATCCCTTTCCCAGTAAACACAATTAATAGAATTCCCCTAACCAGTGGGTGATTCTGGATGGAAAAACACCCCCCTGCAATGAGCAATAGCTGGGACCCCCCAGGAGGTGCTGGGACCCTTGTGAAAGGATGCAAATGCCTTGCAGAGCACAGACATGTGGTGGTGATGCTGCTGGTGGAGCAGCTCCTTTGCATGGTCACACTGCTGCCTGCAGTGGCTGAGGGGTGGGAAGTGGGGATGCCAAGGACCCTCCTGAAGTGACAAACCTGTACTTGCAAAGAAAGCACATGGGCTCCTCCAGCCTGCTAGTG